AAACTTTCGCGAATAACGTGTTCAAATGTTGTACATTATAATTAAAAACCTGAAGGTTTGCCACATATTTTGATAAAAGCGAAAAATAGCAAGAAATTAATTGTTGAAACATCTTTTTATAGAGGACATCTTCTTCGTTAGAAGAAAAATTAAAGCGATCATAATGGTCATAAAAAAGGGTAGTAATTCTTCTACCGGTGCAATTAAGAATCGTAATTACTCCCCTCATTTTTCATCTTCACCAGGACAATTGTAATTGTTATTAACCAGGGCAGAACTAATATTGTTAAACATTGCGGATTAAACGGTCACGCTAGCAGAGATAATACATACATAACAAGATGAAAGTACGGTCACTCAAATGGCCTCGAAACTACGTTAGAGATAAAACAGAGAGATTACAGCTTTACATAAACGATTTAACACCTCGAACAGAAAAGTACATCATTTCCCGCAAGAAGTAATTAGTTCTCAAGCAAAAAAGAAAAAGAAGAAGAGGCTTTTCTTTACCAGGAAAGGAACACAGATCCTTGAAAAGTAGATAACAACGATACTGATTACATTTTCTGTAGTCTCCTAACTCCAAGAGGCTGAATTAGGTGCTCAGAATGATAAAAAAATAAGTTTGAGCTCTTGGTATATGTCCCCGAAAGTGAAAACAATGACAAACTTTGCTTGTGCTTCGTCGCATCTTATCTTGAAACATTTATGACGCAATCGATATTATAAAAAAACTGATTTTAATTTTATAAAACTAATGTTATTGGCATAATATTGTTTTATATTAAATTACTTTCTTCATTGTTGGAAAACATGATTGATCAGTAGATTGCAGATTTTATACATTTATGAGAAAAATGAGTAATTTAAATGCAAAAGAGTAAGGACATTTAAAGAATTTACAAACACTGTTATGTTCTTATCAACTCGTTAATATTATTAATAAAAAAAATGATTGTGTATGTAGCTGCTGTGTCTTGCAACTAATGCAGTTTTTATTTCGCATAAAAATCTGCACTCTACTTATCAGATTCATATTGCATGTAACGTTACATTGCACGCTGTGCTCAAAACAATATCATGTAATGAGAATTAAGAGATTAAGTTATGTAGTTGTGTTATCCGAAATTTTTAAGAACTCTCGTTCAGTATAGTTTACAATAGCAATTCGTTGAAATTTAGTCTGTTCTTCCAATGGAAAAATATTGGGTTGTTTCAAAAGTAATTTCGGTTTTTTGTAAGGTATCTATTTGACAAACCGTAATTATTTTTGCAGCAACCCAATAAATGGGATAAAACGAATAGTATAAATAACACTATCATTTAACTTTTTTGAACTAAAGAATTATGTTGTATCAAAAATAATTCTTGTTTTTATTTGGCAACGAAGCAGAATATTTAATAATTAACATTCGTCGAGTTCACGTTCTTTAAATTCTTACTTAACAAATGCTATTCTATCTTATCACTGTTATCACTAGACTGCATATCTTTACACAAATTCTTCTTCAATTCTTCAATTTTTTACAAAAATTAAAATTAAAGAAAAGTTTCCTTCGTGAACTAAAAAATTACTCGTTAAAATAAAACTCCATGAAAATAAAATTAAAATGCAATTAGGCCTTGTTAATTTATGCGTTTTCTTGCATTTGAAAGATCTAATCATTCAATAATTTTTTCATTCCTGCCGCGTAAATTATTTATGCGACATCACAATATGTAAAACTCGATCTACTCCTGCTGTGGCAAAGAATTTTTCTCTCAGCCCTTTTTTCAGCTAAATGGATTATCCAAATCCATCGGCAGCACTTCCACATCGTTTGTGGCTTATAGTCTAAATTGGAAAAAGTTACTATAAACTTCTGTACGGTGGACCATCTCCATTCGAAGAACTCGCTGGAATTGCGTGGGAATTGTGTATTCATAGACGTAATTCTGAAGTAATAAAGTTTTCCGATAAAACTGCAAGCGAATTTACATTCGATTTCTTCTCTTCATAGGGAGACTGCGGATTTTCGCATTTATGACAACAATGATCAGAGGAAACCCAAGACCATAGAAACATTCGATAAATCTGAATGTATTGTTATATTATTTTCAACATATTGAAAATATAATAAATATCTATTTCGCTCCAGTTTGTTGCAATTTAGGTAAATTGTTTTCATTTTACATAAAGATCGAAATTTAGTTTGGTGGTTTTTTTCGCAGTATGGCTTTTTCCTTGTTTAATTATTTGACAAAATTTGTCGTAAACTGTTCAATAGCGTTGACTGTTAACGAATAATGTTAATTATACGCTTTGCTAATCTCTACGCGGCCATTTTGTGAAACACACTGTGCAAAAACACTAATATTTTTATTATCCACAATTTCCTAGTATTTTTATTATCCACAATTTCCTAGTATTTTTATTATCCACAAGTAGCCAGTATGACAAAAAAAATAATAATCACTAGATGAATAAATATGTAAAATATGTAAAATATGTAAAATACAAGAAAACGTTTACATTAACCAAGAATCATCTAATTGTCGAAAGAATTTTTTTCTTTGCTACATTTATTATGTTACGGACAATAAATGGAAAGTTACATAAAAATTTACAGTCCGATAATTACACTGGATTCAATTCTTTTTCGAGGGAAGTAACTGCTCTCGTGACTTCAAATCAAACGCGACGTAACTTCAATAGCGAACTCAAAGTTCGAAACTTTGATTACGCTCGGTCAGGTTTTTTAACAATCTAAGTTACTGTTGAAGTATAGCGAAGTTCAAAGACCAAAGATTTTAAAGGACTTCTACACAATACATACGTGGAAATGAACGGGATAAAATCTCTAGTGGAAGAGAAATGTATCTGAACGCAGTGATTCTATAAAAGTCAGCAGTGTAATTACATGGATGAAAGCATGATCACTAATAAATCAATATTTTAAGTTCATTGTTACATACATGCAATACGATTTTGAATTCCAAAATAAGGAATTTACATTGGATCTTTATTTTTATTGCAATTATTTAACACTTTGACTGCCGCGTCGGTCATACACATGGTAGTAAAATCTTATTTTCAACTTCTTTCTATAATTCATTTTTATTATAATATTATTTTACTAAGATATTCAGAATACAGAAGAGTTAAAATACCACTCACAATGATCAATTTTAACTCTCTAATTTCAGTTCCATTAATCAAATTACATACTTAGATTTTGTGGGAGTTTCTAGCATCGATTTTCGGCAGTTAACGTGTTACAAAAACAAAGTAGAACTTAATTTGCAAAAGGGCAAATTTATTCATGAAAGAGAAAATTTAGTTTTCAAAAGGATGTATTTAATTTGGAAGAAAGTGAATTTAATTTGAAAAAAGAAAATGAATTTAATTTGGAAGAAAGTGAATTTTATTTGAAAAAAGAAAATGAATTTAATTTGGAAGAAAGTGAATTTAATTTGATAAAAGATAAATTTAATTTGAAAGAAAGTGAATTTAATTTAAATAAAGATGATGAATTTCATTTGAGAATAAGTGAAATTGTTTTGAAAAATGAATGAATGATATGAAATGTGAATTTGATGTGAAAATAGGAGAATATGATTTGAAAAAGGGTGAATATAATTTATAAAAGGATGAATTTACAGCGCACAACCTGCATCATAAACACAAAGTAAAATCCTTAACGCCAGGTGCGGTACGTCATGGTATCATGTAACTTTTCCTGTGAGAGTTGTGGAAAATACTTTAACGACTGTATGTATAGTTCAAGGAAAGTAGTAACACGTTCTAGGTCACGAAAATATTAACAACTAACCATGAAAGTATGCTATCAAGTTTTATTCTTTTCATTATAAGTTTATGCGATTTACGATACGGTGAGTTATACGAGGTGACCGGGCGAGCAGTCAATAAACCTACACTGGTATGGTGCTCATACATAGAAGAGAGGACGTTGGGTCACACGTGACTCACGTGTTAACTGTATTTTATGTTGCAGTTTAGGCTGTCCGGTTGTGCTGCTTGATGGGGCTCAACAGGCTTGTAAAACTGTACAGAATGTTGTACATATTTGCGGCGGAGGCAATAGTAAATATTGAGTTGGCCCGTAACATCGTTTGCTATGATGCTATCTGGTAGCTATTATCAACGCAGATACTTCTGTTAACACACTGATGACCGGCTTATGTTTAACTATTTAGTTTAACTATTACGCAAATATATAACTATTACTAAAAAATGTCACAACATAGAAATATTTTATTTAATCAAACATTACAACTTAACTTTTCAATATGAAATTTATTTAATCAGATTAATAAAATTTGATTTATGAATTCTTTCAAACATGTTTTTCAAAATACTATTGACAAATAATACTATTCAAAATACTATAATTGTCGAGCATTGTGCGGTCAAATTATAACAATTTTGATATTCTGGGTCCAAATAGATCCGAGCGATGTCGTTCGAGAGTTAGTAGAAAACAGGAGGTGGCATCTGCACTTAATGGCAAAAATTAAGAAACATATTACACAGATGCAGATTCATGGGTGTATTGTGTCAACGAAAATAATTTTATTTTCTTATAATTTAATTTTTAATTTTTATTTTATTTTCTTATTTTTCTTATCTTTTTTATTTATTTTATTTATCGTATATTACATAAAACAATATTGCAATATAAACAATGTAATGTATATTTTTGACTTAAGAGAAGACAGATATTTGTTAAAATATCAAAACTCAAATATTAACGGTATGTAAAATTTCTTAATCTTTGTCGATAAATGTGCACACTTAATACAGCATTAGATACTTTGAAGCAGTTAATAAAAAATTTCCGCGGAATATATGAGTAAATAAAAATTAAGAATTTAGTGAATAGAAAGGAGAAATACAGATTCAAGAATGAGTAAGAAAATAAAAACTGAATTAAAAGGAAAGCAGTATCATGAGCAATGACAATAAAGTAAATAATATTATATAAAAATGGTTTACGTACCTACATAAAATAAAAAGAAGAGGACGAATGCAAACCAAGCTGAAATTTCTTAGCAGTCAAGCTGAAACAAAAGAATATATTGTTATTACTATATATGCTTACTGCGTTATTATTATATCTCATCTGACTTTAAATCCAAATGGTTAGCTGTACAAATCTAGGTTTATAAATCCCTTTCTTATAAACCACTACAGTATGTGGGAACTGGCAAGTCCCTCCGATGGGTTCGGATAATCCATTCAGCCAAGAAACGCCCAAGAGGAAAGTTCCTTCCTACCAGAACAGTCAAACCTTCTTTCCTTAAAATCCTGATTTTACGGGAACTCGTGGCTGCGAGTGCTATTTTCGGTGGTGTGATAAATTCGCACTCAACATCTGGAGGTTCGAGCGAAAACCTCGATATTTCAGTGGCTGAGTACATGTTTAATTTGTTCCTCTGATCAAGATAAATGAAAAGGAATTTAGAAAATCAAGAAATTTCGAAACTGTACAAGTGGAGCGTATTGCCTATAATGCAAACATTCCTTTCCAATTGACAGTTTTATGGTCACGTTAACACCTAGGGTATTAGCAACGTTGAACAGTAACTAAAAGTAACTAATCCATTAAATTTTGTTTATCAACTCTATTCTTGTTAGCGCCATAATTTTGTATGGAGCAATGAAATCATTCCGTAAACGTTAACGTAGTAATTCTGATTATAGTCACTGTTGAATATTCAGAGTGGATCAATGTGTGGTTAAGTAGGTATGAATGAATCTGTGAATCGATATGTGAAGTATGCAGTGCTTAGTCCTACATTGTATTTCCATACTTATTCAAACAAATCCAATAATCATAAATTGCAAATAATCAACGAAAAGAAAGATTATAAATGAAATAATACAGCCTGCCTGTCATCATTTAGAGAAAGTGAAACGATAGAAGAATTGGATATAGTCTATTAATTACCTGATTAGAGTCTAAATAAAATAAAAATAAGATTAAAATTCAGTGAATTTTTATATATACTGAATGACAAAATATTTTTTGTACTTTAATTTCTGCTCTACTAATTCATAAACTCTATTTACAAAACGCGAAAGTATAATCAAAGATGTAAGTATGTTAGAATGTCGAAGAAGGAACAGTGACCAAAAAAGGAAGGAAAAAACTTCAATTAAGGGTTAATTACAAGAGCAACATGTGGGAAAGTCGAGAAGAGAAATCGGTACCGGTTAGAAGAGGGAAACGAAGATTCGTTCAAGTAGAAACACTGAAATCCACTATGGTACTCTAATCAGATAGACGCGGAAGAATTAAGAGAGGAAAAAGTAGTACGATGCACGATAAAGGAAACAGCAATAAAGTAGCTGAGTAAAATGAAACGGTGTAAAGTTATAAGAGGCGAACAGAACCGAAATAGAAATATAGAATATTTCGAATATTTACAAATGCTGAAAAATTAAGTACGTCTGCATATTTAGGGATAAGAGTAATCATAAGTAGTGTAGGTAAAGGTTTCTTTCTATGAACGAATGCACGCTTTCTCTTCAAGATGTAACGAACGTGGATGCGCGGCTGAACGAACGTTTTATTGCAACGAGAATCTTTATTTCCAGAAACAAAATTCAATTCTCGATTGAAGCTGTAAACGTGATGCGTGCCTTTTTTTATAGCACCATCCGCGGTGAGAAATATCCTACTTTAAAGAAAGACTTTTCGATATAATGGAAACCTGCTCCCTCACACACACACACACACACACACACACACACGCGCGCGCGCGCGCGCGCGCGCGCACGCACGCACACACACAGAGAGAGAGAGAGGGGGGGAGGGGGGAGAGAGGGGGAGAGAGAGAGAGAGAGCAGACTGTGAAGTTTCTTGCAGAATTTAATTGTTAGTCCAGAACTGATCTTGCAAAACTGATCTTGTAGAATGAGATAAAATATTCTTACACTGCCTGTGTTATTCCCTTGTGAACATCGTTACCGACTTGTACATAACAAGAATCATAAATTATCGTGTTAAAAAATTACAACACATTTAATTCAGGATATCTCTATGTCGCTATGATAAAAATTAAGAAATTACACATTTTGACTACTCCATGCTTCCAGTATTAAGTAATACATAAATCCAACATTTGTCTAAGAATTTCCTTAACTTCGTAACCTTGGTTGAACCGAAATCGCAATAAGAGAACACGGTTTTATACCTTCACGATTGTACGATTTTTTTCCCTGTCAGCGGAGAATGTCAAGGAAACGATTTCGACGTGAGAGCTGCCATTACAGGAAGAGATTTCCAAACGTCGAGTGCGAATAATGCACGCTTGAGTAGAAACGGAAGAATTTTCGTATGACCTTTTCGAGTGGATATCGGGTGATTGCAATTCGAAGAATGCACTGAACCCGTGGGAGCAAGGAACGCGAGCATTCGAATGAGTTTCACGCGTGCGAATGGATATAAGGATAAAATTGCATAGTCTAAAGTTAGCTGCCGGTAGTACTCGTTAGCATCGTGTCATTAGTTGCTAGACATCGTCGCGTGTTGCTGTTATTGCGTCCCCGTATTCTCGCATTAACGTTAAATATGGTTCAATTACATTTCAATTAAATCAGCATTCAGATTACATTCTCGTTCTACTAAGTCTTTTTTCAGTTTTTCTTTTCACGAATATACGAATATGCGGAAAAGATACTTACAATTTAGCGCATTTCGCTTTGTTTATTCGAAAAGGGTCAATTTGAAACAGTGTAATCCCTTAAATGGCAATTCACAAAGGCATACATATATATTTATATAAAATGTGTAGAAGATAAGTGGTACTTTTATTGGCTGGCTTGTGAATATAGCTGTTTTACAATAAACGTCTTTTAATGAAATATACTCATTTTTTTATGACGAATCTAGAATATTTATATCTGTGTTCAATGTGTGTTTTAATGATTTTTTTGTACAAACTACAATTTGTTCAATTGATATAAATGTTCAAATAATAATATCCTGGGGTTTTTCGTAACTAACATTTTCTATAGATTTTTGTCACTTTATTGTGAAATGTTTTCAAATATAATATTCCTATATCTTTTATATCTTTGACAACGAATAATTTAGAATATAATTTGATGGTGCGCTTCAATTGCAACACCCTGTGTACCTAAAAGTATCGTTTAGAAAATAGAGAAGTTTTACAAATATCGCTGTGTGACATTTTCACAGAGTACTAATCCAGGGTTAAACTAGACCATTGTATTAAGTTATTGATTAAATCTTTCTCGTTAATATGTTACGATTTCATGATTTCATCATTTCAGTCTTAGAGTGAAGAACTTCCAATTATATTTGATATATCATTCTAATAGGATTATGTAATGAGGATGATGTATAAATATCGTTAATAGTATAATATTTGTATTCTTTTAATTAAGAAATATAATCTACTTAATGGACAAATGAAATATTTTGATAACACCTGCTGTATAAATATATGTATAAATATATTCATATGATAGTTCATAATAAGTTAATTAACAATTAATATATTTTATAATATTACTGTTAATAATACTATACTTAGTAATGTAATTAATAATATTTGAAATTTTTTCAGACTAAATAAAGAACTGATTGCTAATAAGAATGTTGTTCTGAATGGAACATATTTTGTGGCCATTTGTCAAGCTGAGCTGCGTAAATGGGATCACATAAATATCTTCTGTATTTTTATAGCCATGTAAAAAATACATATATACTTACTTATTCATATATCATTTGATACAAGAAAAAAGTATTCTTCATATTCCCCTAAATGCCGGAGATATTTATGTGATCCCATTTACGGGATCCACTTTATAAAAATATGAAAATGAGAGCATAAAACCATTTGATTACATGCGTATC